TCCGGCATCACCTGACGTCATTAACAAAGGGCTCGTGATTGGAGAAGGTCTGTTTGCAGAGACAGTATGGGCAGTTTCACTCGTGATTGGAGGCTCGTGATTGGAGAAAGTCTGTTTGCAGAGACAAGCTATCGGCAGGTTCACTCATGAATGAATGTTATCAGTTATGTAAAAGAGCATGGAAATAGAGCTGCAAAGAGACGGTTTGGATCTCCTCCCACCGAGTGTATCAGGTAAATGTTATCTAATTACTAAATAAAAAAATGTTTTGCACTATCTTTAAAATATTGATTTCTTAATTGTGGGTTGGAAAAGTGGGGGTCGTCTTGTACATGGGGGCGTCTTATTGACGGAAAAATACGGTATTTATCCAGACACTTTTCTGTGTCTTTATTCCCAGATGGGGGAATGGAGTAAGGACATTAACCTAAGCCAAACTGGAGATACAAAATTGAGTTATTTTCTTTTCTTTTGTTTTTAATATCAGCAAACTTGGGGTGGGCACATTTTTATGTTTTGTATTTTGAATTTTTTAAAACTTAGATCCATGTTTATCAGTCTATATGCATGTGCTGTTGAGTATACTTATTACAGTGCAAGATCTCTGTAACTCTGGGAAACTAACCTTGACAAGTATTTTGTCATCAAGGTATTTAAAGTATAGTAGTCATTTGAAATGGACTTAGATTTTAAACAAGAAAAAGAAGGGACAAATGTGCAACAAGCTGGAAAAATTACAACCAGATTTTATTATTATTATGTTGCAAGAAGCCCTTTCCTCCCTAATGAAGCATAGGAGCTGGGTTGGACAACCTTATATTAGTGGATATTCAAATAAAGCATGTGAGGTGGCTGTTTTAGCAATCTTAAAATTGGTGTGGAATATGAACATGGCAACAGTAAAGAATATTTTATTTTTTTTGGTAGTAAATAGCTACTATCCCTATTACTCTGATTAATTACTATGGCCTTGCTTTTGTTATATGCTAGAAAGCACATAGATAAATACATTAAGTATATATAGCAGTAAAGCTTAAATTGGGGCTTCTACACTCAGAAAAAAATGAATATTATTTATTAAATTTATTATGGCTACCCATAATAGATTCTGGGTGGCTTACAAAATTCAAAATACACAGTTAAACCATTAAAAACAAAAAAATGTGACAGTCCAGATTAAAAACAATCATGTTTTTAAACATGATAGGCTCCGCAAACACATTAACCCCAGGCCCCAGGCCAGTGAACAGAGCCAAGTCCTTCCAGAACCCCAGGAAAGTGGGTGCCATATGTTCCTCTGAGGGGATGCTGTTCCAGAGGATGGAGCATACTCTCTGAAGTATATTAAATGGATTAATCAGAAATACTGAGAATCAGAAGAGAAAGCTGGAAAATTATTTGCTTATTGTTTGAGACAACCCCTTCCTACCCCCATCCCAAATTTTTATCTGGAGATTTGGCCCATGATGGACTGTTACTTAATGAGACAGAATCTATTAATCATCAGTTTTATAATTTTTATGCAGTTATATCTTCTAGGGGTTCCTGTAACCAAACATTAAATTACCAGTTTCCTGGGAAATAATTGGAAGAGATTTCTCAGGAAGATAAAAATAAATTGGCACAATCATTGACATTGCAAGAAATCATAGGGACTTTGCAAACTATGAAACTGGGGAAAACCCCTGGACCAGATGGACTTCCAGTTGAATGGTATACAGCTTTTATAGAATTGTTGGTTTCCATAATAAATCTTTCAATCTTTCATTTATTATTTTATAAGACTTATATTACAGTAATATTAAAGTATAAAAAGTCCTACAAGATGTGCAAGCTATAGACTAGTACCACTGTTAATCTGGACACTAAAATATTAACTGCAGCAGGGGTTAATATTTTAACAGAAAATAATGCCATCTATAATTCACCTATCTCAATCTGGATTTATAAAAAATAGAGAGGCATTTGCAGAATCTGCCTGGTGATTAATATGATGATTTTGAATATCATGGAGATAAATTGGAATCAGTTCTAATTTTGTTGGATGCTGAAAAGGTCTTTGATATGCTCCAGGCTGAAGTTATGAAGTGTGTTCTAAGGAGAAATAAGTTTCCATCATCTTTTATTCATTACATTAGATTTGTGCATTGGGATCTTTACCCAGTGGATTATTATGAATGGATTTGTTTCTCAACCTGTTAAGTTATTTGTCTCTCAACCTACATTACTTAATAGGCTGAGAGACAAATCCATTCATAATGGATTTGAAACAAAGGTGTCCCTTGTTTCATTTATTGTATATACTTGCAGATAAACTGAGAATTTTAGGTTCCAGAACACACCCCAAAAATTGGGTTTGGCTTATCAATGGGTGGCCTTATCCATGAGTATATATAGCAATATTATTTTAAAGTATCCATATATACTTGCGGATAAGCCAACCCTCAAATTTTTAACCAAAGTACTGTGAAAAATGCACCATCTGCAAACAAGCCAATTGTGAAAATTAAAACTTACAAACATTTTGAGGGTCGGTTTATCCATGGGTGGTGCATTTTTCGTGGTGTTTTGATTAAAAATTCAAGGGTCAGCTTATCCACGGATGGGCTTACCCACAAGTATATACAGTAATCTTCAAAGTGCTATTTGAACCATTGGCTACTTCCATTACATAGTCTCAAAATATTATAGTGGTACTCAGCACTGAATATGAATCATTCTTATAGGCTGATGATTTTATGGCTGTCCTTTATAATTATGCAATATCATTATCAAAGTTTATTTGAAGTCATAGAGCAATATAGTTTATATTCTGGTTATACCATCAATTGAAATTAGTCTAATATGCTCTTTAGGAGGTCTATTATATTTAGTGATTACTGAAGAGGTTAGGATTTACAATTTGTACAGATTCTATACAATACTTGGGTTTATATCTTTCTTGAAATATATCACAATATGTTCAGTTAAACATGACTACAGTGTAGATACAATTTCACTTAGTGATAAAAACACCCATTAAGATACTGGGCAAGATCAATGTTTTTAAAATGAACATTACATCGAGATTATGGCTAAAGCTCTTTTGAATATCTTTGGCCAAACTGAGGTTATGTTAAGATGATGCTTGCTTTAGCCTATCTGATTTTCATCTATATCATCAGGCTTTATTTTAACAACTATATATTTGTTTTGTGGTCCTGGTATGTTAAACAAATCTTCACTTGCAGCCTTGAAAGCTCCAAGGGGGTTATTTATTCTGAATCACATGAGAAATTGATGCTGGGGCATTACGCAAATTTGAAAATAGTGGGAAAGATGTTTTATTGGGATGCTTATGCTGAACAAGGGATCATCACTTTAAATCAGTTGATTTCTAATGACTGTTGTAAATATTCTTAGAGATTGCATATTGAGTATAACTTACCTATAGTATTTACTTGGGAATATATATAACAGAAGGATGTATTAAACAGTATTGCCCAGATGCGCTAGCAGCCTCTGAAGTATCTGCTGTTTTAGGTTCCTTAAGAGATGTAGCATTTGAATGTAAAACAATTAAGGAAGAGCAAAGCAGAGAGACAGAGAAACAAGAGTCCTTTTCCTGCTCATCTCAACTCCTAAAGCCCCTAATGATCAATAGAATAGAATAGACCAAGACCTGATGATTCTAGATTTTCATCTCTAACAATATGTTCTTTATATTTTAATAAACTTTAGACGTAACCATAAACATTGCCTGAAAGGAGAAGTAGCAGGCTGAAAAAGTACTTTGGTTTTTATAACTCATCTGCTTTCAATTTCATTGCTTCATGGCAATTGCATTGATGCTAGCATTCCACAAGAACATAAGCAAGAAGTTTGAGTACACCATCTGCACACCCTATTGTATTTCAGGAAAGCAGAGTATAAACAAGTTCTACTCAGTTTTGATTAATAATTTGCATAAGACTTCAATGTTTTAATTTATCAAAATCTGAAACAGGATTGGTAGTCTGAGTGAACTTGAAAGTTTTAGATAGTTCTGTGTTGATTATCTCTTTGGTATACTGGCAGATTCTGAATATAATATGAACTTTGTTGTTGTATAAGGGTAAGGGTTGGGCTATTTTAAAAAAACTATAGAACACACTGGGAAGGGAAAAAATGCATCATTTTACTAATGGGTAATCACATTTTTATAACTTGCTTGTCATCTTATAGCAAAACACAGCTATAAGCCTTTTAAAATAACATGCCTAAAATGTTTTTTTAAGGTTTATATAGTTTCTTCAATTTTATCATAGAAGTAGCACACAAATATTGCAAGAGAAAGAAGTACCATTTAAAGTTATTTCATATCGGTTAGTGATTATTGATTATTTAACCGAACCCATTTGAATTCCTTCATTGCTTTAAATTAACATGTAAGACAGGGTTCCTCAACCTCAGCAACTTTAAGATGGGTGGACTTCAATTCCCAGAATTCCCCAGCCAGCCATGCATGTATCTCTGTGTGTGTATTTATGTGTTTGTGTGTATATATGTAAACCTCAATTTCCTTTTGGGCATGCATGGGTTTAGTTCAATATATCTTCTTTGCCATAAAAGCAACCAAGCTTAGAGAGACTGCATTGTGAAGAGACTGAATGTCAGTATCTGCTTCTTCCTAATGCAAGATCCTCTGACAGCTACAGTAAACTTGGTTTAGTAGGGGCAGAATCACATATTCCAGCATTATCTTGCTTTGATTGCCTCCAAGATTCTTATTGAGAAACGCAGTGCTTGTTGTAACTTAACAGAGAGATAGAAAGATTTTAATGGGCCTCTGAGTAAACTACTTAACCTAGATGCCTACATATCCATCCTTATCACACTTTTTGGTATTTTACTAATTATTTTGAGTTTGTTCTTGGATGTTGCTATTGTGGCTTACTTACATATGTGACACTATCACTTTGCCAATTTACAATCTGTCATGATACAACACTATCAATATACTGAGAGTAAACAGACAATAGTTATATAATGTTACATTTGTATCCTGGTGCTATGAGACATTATTATTAGTATTAGTAAATATGTGTTTAATTGAAGCACAGTGATAGCTGTGCAGCCAAACAGGCTGAATTCTAAAGTGATATATCTCAGCATTAAAATTGTTAACTGCTATCATCACGATATGGGGCATTTAACTGTGCAGAGAGGGAGAGAGAGAGATGGTTGGGAACTGCTGTGTGAATCTAAAAATTTTTTAGATTCTACTTTTTTGCCCAGATGGATATATTATATTTGTAGCAAAATATATATTTCTCCAAAAGTTAACCAAGCATAGCTCAAGATAATCTATTTGGTTGAAGCTATGTATATCCATAGAAGATGATGTGTCATATTTTAAATGCCATATTTTATTTCAAAAATATTCTATAATTTGTTCTTTTTTATTCTCTAAAGTGTAGTGACTATGATCTGGATTATGGAACAGAATGTTTGCATCTAGCTCTAAACTATAGCAAAATAAATGCTAAACTTATTGAAGGGCCTTCTGACCTATGGAAGGTAAGAGCATTGCTATTGCTGCTTATTAATAGTAAAACGTTTTCTTATGATATGGAATTTTTTACAGGGGGTTGATGGCTAGGTGTTAATATTACTGAATATAATAAAAACATCTAGTCATCTAGTTACATTTATTAAATTAATGTTATTAATTAGTAACCTTTGGGGTCAATAAAATATTTCAGTAGAAGACCATCAGTGGTATCATTAAAACATCTTGAAAGAGAAAGCATAGAGGAGAGTGGGAAATCTTTTGGTAATATCTAACATGGGAGGGAGCAGGGGGACTAGGACAACAGTGGGCAAGAGAACAACACAAAGAATGTATCACATAGTGGATAGGGCTGGATTTGTTTCTCCCTGTTTTGGGTTGGCAGGAAAGGTTCCTTTGTATTTTGATCTATGCAAAGTCAAGTTTAGGGCTTATATTACAGTTACACATTACAAGAAACTGCACAGTCAAATTTTCTGTAGCAATTATCAGAGGAACCTTCAGGGATGATAAAATACATGTATGGGACTATATATGCAAGTTCATGGCCTGCCAGATTGGGTTGCATGTTTCTTCTAATTCTCCATCTGATTTGGAGAAGAAGGAGGCAATGAGCCCTCTTTCCTTAGGAGTTCCATTGGAGAAAAGGAGATGGTCTCCTAGTCTTATTGCTTGGATTTTGCTGCTATAGCTGCAAATAAGAAAAGAAATTACAGACTTTTTTCCTCTGTTGGTGATTGGGACAGTCCCACAAAATATTTAGCCTTGGAAGCAGCATCACCATTTGGTGGCAAATGCAGGAAAATCATCAAGTGCTGATCTTGTCCCTTTACCATGCGTTGTGTGCCTCAGGGTTAGCGATTCTGACTTGCAGGAAGAACCAAGCAAGAGTGGCAAGCGTACTTTTTCATTTCTGTTAAGGTATTTCAGTTAAATGTTATGTCAAAATCATTGCTAATACAAACTCTTGAAATCACCAGTCCATGGAGAGTATTACAGTATATGATTGTACTATTTTCTAAATTTATGTTGGATTTACTTTAATTGTCATCTCTTTGTCTCTCTACTGAGGAAAAAGTAGTTGAACAATTAGAAACCCAAACACTTGTAGATCATATTGCACATTAAGAAGATTATAATTTTCAGATATATAGCTCTTACTAAATGAAAGATAATTACTTTATTAATTGTAAATTATAGTAAATAATACCGTTAAATGAAACATATACTTCTTTGCAAGGTTCAAAAATTAATTCTCAATAGATTTTAAAAATTGCAAAATCTATTTTAAATCTTTAAAAAAAAATTAAGGTTAAGAAATCAATAATTTCTTGGAGGTACTTATATATAAATAGTTCCCTTTGGATACTCTTCTGATTGGGATTATAGATTAGTATTATATTCATTGTTCTGTAATATCTAATTAGGCTTATTTATCCTTTAGGTAACTTACAAGTGGGATCTTTTTGCAGCTGATTGTTTAATCAAAGGTATGTGTTTTTCCTTGTTCCCTCAATTTACTTATTATCTTCTAGGCCTTGGACACAGTCTCCAGTTCTTTCTGATAAATTCCGCAGTTCCTTCTATATGAGATTGCTTTCTAAACAAGGGGAAAATCTCCTGCATATAAAAAGAACAGTAGTGAGAATTAAAATATTTCTGTAATTACTACATTTGGTAATTTTGAAAATATACTATTCATTGAGAGTTGTAGAATGTCAGTTTTGTTAAATATGTGGCATTAATGGGAAATGGCCAATGAGTGTGAATAGATGATGAGTGACATGATATATAAGGTTGCTTTTGGGAAGAGCAGAAACAGTATTATAATTATTTATAACCCTCATAGCTTCAGATATATTGCTGTCATATGCAGTGGTGCCCTTTGAGTTTATTTTTGAACATGACATCATTCTAGGGTCTTCCTTTCAGTATTGCTGTACTATTAGTCTGCTCCCCCATTTCAGCAGAGGGTAAGATTAGAGAAAAATAGAGGCAGATTGGTATAAGCTATTACTATTTGCAATTTCTTATAGAAGTAAGCTACTGTAATCTTAGAATTGTTTATTAAATACAATATGGTTCTCTTTCATTACAGTAGAACAAAAGTAGGGAACTTTGACCATCCAAATATTGTTGAATCCTAACATAAGTCATAAGGGTATCAGTGGCTACGCTGGCTGGAATCAGTGGTTCAACAGCATCTGAAGGGGCGCATCTTCCTGTTTCTGCATTAGAATAACCTGGTGCCCATCAGATGTTTTGGTTTACGATCCTTTCCAGCTCCAAATCTAAAGTGCACCAGCTTGGGCAAGGCTGTACCAGAAGCAGTCAGGTCTGAATGCATTTGAAGCTGAGTAGTGAAACAATTAATTTTGAAGTTTGGTTGCTACTCTGGTTTTCAGTAGTGAAATTGCTGGAATCATTGCAACATTTCTGTAAGTTTGAGGCATCAAGTAGAATGTATGCTTATTATATTATAAACAAAATTCTAGCCTGTCTTTTGAACCAGCATATATCTATACACATAAAAGATTCATTCCAAAGTGGTAACTGTAGAAATTATAATAACACCAATTATTGTTACTAAATCTAAAAATTTACAAGTAGCAAATGCATCTGGTTTCAATAAACCTAAGCCACACTGTAGTATGTTTATTCAGGTATATGAACATATTACTTTACAAGGCAACATTGTATTTGTTGTGCAGACTTCTTGTGCCCACCCGTTATTAATTGCATAAGCTCAGACTAACAAGTTATTACATCAGCTAAAAATGCCAAAACTAAAAAAGCTGAATTTAATTTACATCAATTAACTGTTCTAGAACAATGACGATATTTTTCTTCTTTCAATGAGCATTTCTTGAGAAATGGCCTACTAGTTATTTTAGTAGAAAATGAGAATATCCAGACACATTTATGTTTCTTATTTTCCATTTAATTTGTGTGTATGCATATGTGTGCACACAGTAGGGTGGCACTTTGGGTCCTCATACTGAAACTTACTTTATAAAATATTTCTGTCTTACTATAATTTCTGTCTCTGTAATATGAGTGTTTTATTTAACCTATGTATTGTCTGTGGGCATATTTCCCTGTGAATGTAGCTATTTAATAGGCTGGTAATACCTGTTAGTACAATATTAGATGAATAAATAAAAAATATATGAGATTTTCATATGAGATTATAAAAAATATATGAGATAAATATGAGATTTCATTGCAAGTAGATCAAGTTCTTCCCATACAAGAACAGCTAGAAATTATAGAAGGAAGAACTAAGAGTTATTTATGAAAAATGGTTATGCATAAGTTCCAAAAAATTGGATGAAACAATTATTCGACCTCCAGATTTCTGACCCACATACCATCTGAGCTAATATCTCTAAAATAATAATTAAATATCAAAAATTTAAATGTTTTAAAATAATTTTAAAAATTTTAAATAATTTTAAACTTGAATCAACCAGTTATTTCCATTCTGTATAATACAGTTTCAAATTAACTGTGTTATCTTTACTGTTGAAAAACTTATATTAATGATTAATCTGAAAATGAAATGTAAATAGTTTCCGTTAAAGAGTAATCATGAGGTAAACGCTATATATTTATTTTTTATATAAATTTTAGATTAATCTGAAAATGAAATGTAAATAGTTTCCGTTAAAGAGTAATCATGAGGTAAACGCTATATATTTATTTTTTATATAAATTTTAGATTAATCTGAAAATGAAATGTAAATAGTTTCCGTTAAAGAGTAATCATGAGGTAAACGCTATATATTTATTTTTTATATAAATTTTATTAAAAGTTTTAAAAAGAAGATAAAAATATAAAGGAAAAAAGAGAAGGAAAAGAAAGAAGACAAAAGAAATAGCAAAGAAAAGATAAAAAAATAGAAGATTCCAATTTTCTTTGCAGAAATTACAAATATAATTACAAAATTATATCTTACTCTATGGTTAAAAAAGAAAAACACTCTTTTTTCTATTATCTAGATTTTTATTTTTCTAGTCATGAAAACTACAAATCATGAGTCCATTTTTTTTCTGTTTCATGCAAAAGGTCTATAAGGGGTTTCCAGTCTACAATAAATGTAGATATTGTCTTTTCTCTAATCAAGGAAATCAATTCAACCATCTCTGCAAGTTCCATCATCTTTACCAACCATTCCTCCATTGTGGGTAGTGCCAAACCTTTCCATTTTTGAGCTTATAATATTCTCGCTGCAAATATAAAAACAAAGTTCCATTACTTTTTTCCAGCTGTCTGTCCATTCCAATGCTATGTATTTCTCAGATCAAATTACCCAGGTTTGAATATATCAGAAAAGTACATAGTGCATCAGGGTCATCATATTTAAGTTCATTCAAATTAATGAAATTTTTAGTCACAAATGAAGTCTATTGATTTAATAGTCTTAAATCTGAATCCAAACTTGATACTCATTGAAAGAGAATGGGTGGATGGATAGACAGACAGACAGATATCACATGTATCATGGTATTATTGGTAACACAGTGCATACCATAGCCACATTAGGGGCATTTCAGTGTGACATAGTACACAATGTCTACTGTTTCTGCATAAGCGAAAATAATCAGCTGTTGTGATAGCTTTTGAAAGTAATCCAGCTGCAATTTTTCTTGAAACTTCAACTGAAACATAGTAAAGAAAAGTTGTGAAAATGTAGACATTTGCTTTAGAATTCACATAGCCTAAATTATAAATGATCCATAATTGGCATTATGTCATTGATTGATAGATGCAAGTTTTTTTGTCCCTCAGTGTTTTGGGAGGTTTTGTTTGTTTCAGTGGGTTTTTGTTTTAATTATATTGTGTTTTTTATTCTTGTTCTTGTGCCCAGGGTTCCTACTGGTAAATGCCATATAAGTTTGTTAAATAAATAGGTAAATAAATATTACAACTAAATAATGTTTGTATAGATATTTTTACAGGAGTTTCAAATAGTATCTGATAATTTATCCTGTTGATTGTTAAAGTAATTGATAGTCAACTGGAGATACATGGCCTAAAATAAAATAGAAGAAATTAATATATCACCTGTTTTTAATTATGTGAGCCCTATTTGAAGCTTTGTATTACAAATATAATCCTACCTATGCAAATACAGTTAACAAATTTCAAATGCTTCAGGAAAAATTCAAGTTTTTTACTGTAGGCAGAATAAGCTGTTGATAAAGGATACATTCCATTCTATTAAACTGAACACTGATGTAGGTAAGAAAAACATATAGTTTTTCTATGTGATGATGTTTAGATGATGTTACCTAGTGAGGTAATGAAACGTCTGCAAGCAAACAACCAAGCTCAGAGAGCATCAAGGACTTCACAAGAAATACATAATAATGATTCAGATATTAAGCAATGCAGTTGCAGTATGTAAAGCAATTTGAGTTGCTACCTTAAAAATGATTTCTTAACATACAAAAATGCATTTTTTTAGTTTTTGTAAGTCTTTTAAATTGTAGATTGGAAAATAATAGAATACTGATTTAATAAGATAAGTCTTAATGCGCTTGAAATAAAACAGGTAATAACATGCTGGATGTGCAGACAATGTGGCGCATGTCTCTCCTTTTTTCTTTTTCTTTTATTAGTCTGCAAATAGGGAAACCTCATCCTGCAGTTAGGATGACTCATTTATAAAAGTAGTTAGAACCTGGATAGCATAAAAACATCCTGAAAGAATCTCTTTAAGGACTTCTTCCCCCAGGGCAACTACATCTTTGAACCTCTAGTTGAAACATGTAAGCTTGAAGATTTCAGTCTGCCTTTAAGGTATTCCCTAAAATGTATATTCAAAAATAGGTGAAGAATTAATATTTTTGGAACTCTAATCAAATTCTTATGATGATATGACCCTCTGAATTCCAGTTTCAGCTTACCTTTTTTTTTAATCAAGTGCTAATTGTTATGTTCACAGGGGGATTGCCCTTAGGCAGTACATAACTTAGTGTGTCCTGCTTGGACTTGTCACCGCTTCAGCAGTTGACATTACTGTGCAATAAAATAATAATAATTATTATGGTTGGTCACACAGCCAGATGTTTAGACTGGATTTGGCATTTTTATCCATCGAATCCTTCCCAAGGGCCTGGGATAGGCAGATGTTTGGTGGTGTTAAAGGTATCATCACAGGATGTGAGCTGTTCCAAGTAAAGTTGCCTTTTGCAACTGACTGATGGTGATCTTGTCAATGCCGATGGTGTTCAAGTGGTGCTCCAGATGTTTTAAAATTGCATACAAGGTGCCTATTACTATTGGTACTGTCTTTGCTTTCTTTTGGTCTTTGTATTCTCCACTTCTTTCTCTTCTATTCTGTTGTCTCTAAGTATTGCAATGTCTGCAATCCAGACTTTTTGTCTTTATTATCAACAATTATTAAGTCTGGGGTGTTGTGTTGCAGATGCTTGTCTGTTTGAATTCTAAAGTCCCAGAGCACTTTAGCTTCTTCATTTTCTATCAGTTTGTCTATTTTGTGATCCCACCAGTTCTTGCTTGCAGGCAAGTGGCATTTCTTGAAGATATTCCAATGTACCACTGTTGCTACTTTGTCATGCCATTGTTTGTAGTCAGTCTGTGTGATCTTCTTGCAGCAGCTA